TGATAGTTAGCTATAAGCAAAATTTATAATAGTAGTTTTTGATTAGATAAATTATATTGCCTAATATGCAGATTATGGAAAACCTACATGGCTAACAAAGTATCAACTGGGTCGGACTTTATGGACAGGATGTATAACGTAGTGAGCGGGTTGTTGGACAGGGTGCTTACCCCCAAACTGAGACAGATTCACGATCAGTGGTATGGGGAATACCTATCACTATATGATATGATGGAGGAGATTAAAGTGGGCAAGGGTATTCCCACACTTGAACAATACGATGATATAAGGTTAGTATAAAAACAAGGCAATTGATTATTTTAAATTTATTAGATTTATTAGAACACATTATATAGATAATGGACGTATTTTAATTTGACAATTTCAAATAAACATACAGTTTTTAGACTATCTACTTTGTAATAAATATGGAGAATGAACATGTATGATTAATATAATTAATTGTAAATGTCCGCTTTTAGACCATTAGACATTGGCTTCATAGTTATGCAGATTTTTATATACGCCTCTCTCGAGTTTGACCCTGATGACTATCCAGAAATTATCAATAACCCCAATTGGCACCTATTCAACACGTGGTCAGTTCGTAACTTTTATTACACCAATGATGTCTACTCGAGCAAAAAAGAGACCATGCAACAACAGGGCAAATTCACCCTGATCTACATCATTATGTACAATAATAAATGCGATGCCCAGACAGCCTGCGATAAGGTGGTGGCTATGATACACGAGTCGTGGGAAATGACCTACAAATATGCAACTTTGTTGGCTGAGCTTGACATACCTGTGCTCAATGACTATACCTACAGAATTATGTGCCTGCTTAAAGGTAATGCGTACTGGTCAACAGTTACACCACGCTATCAGGATATGAATAAATATAAAGATTATAAACTTGGTGATGAGCTTACTTTTGATTGAGTATGTTCATTAATAATAGTAATTCCTAGATTTTATGGTATATTTAAATTAAACAAGTACTTTATATTATTAATTAAAAAATAACATTTTAACTCTGTCACTGTATCCCACTTGTTACTAGAGCTACAGTACTTTTTAACCAAGCACATTAAAAATTTTAATTTGTTTTATTTATTATAATATTAAAACATATATTAATAGCTAGATATATTAAAATTAAAACAACGATGATATAGTATATCGTTTATAAATGTCGTAAGAATTTCTAAGAATTACAAGAATATTCTTACAGAATCGTAGACTATATAGTTGAATAAATAATTAATAATTTAAATTAATGATGTAGAAAGTGTTTAAACATATATTTGATTTCAAGTATTCTATTATTTACCATGTTAAATAATATAAATTATTATAAGTTATAATAATAATAATAATAATTTATAACCATTTAAAAAAATGTGTCTACAATATATTGAAATTTTTATTTAAATAATTTAAAAACAACTATTTAATAAAAATAATTATTAAATTCAATGTCAATTTTATATTATTTAAATATGAATTTTTGTTATAAAATTAAATAATTAAATTTTTATACCATATGTTATCACGTGTTTATAATTTCTGTTATTGCAGCTTTATAAAAATTAAAAAATATTTTACAAGCTCATCTTTGACACTAACCTTGCAAATTTTTTTTATTCATTTGCCTTGGTTTTTTAATCACCAATATAAAGCATTTATTTCATTTAATACTAGCTACAAGTTAACTTTAAAACTAGTTTATAAATTATAAGCCAGCAAAGTTTTAAAACAATTTTCAAACAAATTATATGCAATGCAGGACAGACATACCCAGGATTTCATCATCAAAAGGACTGATTTGGACGACCAGATCGTGGCGTATGATATACGGGGACTCATACCGGAAAAGGTGGAGCGCAACCGATACGTACCCAACGCCCAGACTATACTCAAGCGGATGATCAGCGATGTCAAAGAGGAGTACCATAAGGACCAGGCTAACTTTTCGGACGCGGTCACTTTCTCGTTTCCCACTATCAAGCAACACGATATCCTGATTACCTTAAACTTTTGGAACTCATTTGCACTTTATCTGGATGACTTCCTAGATAAGAAAACAGTGGACCAGGCTCACCATGTTGCGTATGAATTATTAGTTAATGATAGTTAGTTATAAGAAAAATTTATAATAGTAGTTTTTGGTTAGATAAATTATATTGTCTAATATGCAGATTATGGAAAACCTACATGGCTAACAAAGTATCAACTGGGTCGGACTTTATGGACAGGATGTATAACGTATTGAGCGGGTTGTTGGACAGGGTGCTTACCCCCAAACTGAGACAGATTCACGATCAGTGGTATGGGGAATGGCTATCACTATATGATATGACTGAGGAGGTTAAAGTGGGCAAGGGTATTCCCACACTTGAACAATACGATGATATAAGGTTAGTGTAAACACAAGGACAATTTATTATTTTAAATTAATTAGCTACACATTATATACATAATGGACGTAGCTTAATTTCAAATAAACATACAGTTTTTAGGCTATCTACTTTGTAATAAATATGAAGAATGAACATGTATGATTATTATAATTAATTGTAAATGTCCGTTTTTAGACATTGGTTTCATAATTATGCAGATTTTTTATACGCCTCTCTCGAGTTTGACCCTGATGACTATCCAGAAATTATCAATAACCCCAATTGGCACCTATTCAACGCATGGACAGGTCATAACCTTTATTATAGCAATGATGTCTACTCGAGCAAAAAAGAAACCTTGCAACAACAGGGCAAATTCACCCTGATCTACATCATTATTTACAATGATAACTGCGATGCCCATGCAATGCTGTACATGTATCATAGCCACCACCTTTTCGCTAGCTGTCTGGGCATAGCATTTATCAGACAGCTAGCGATAAGGTGGTGGCTATGATACACGAATCGTGGGAAATGACCTACAAATATGCAACTTTGTTGGCTGAGCTTGACATACCCGTGCTCAATGATTATACCTACGGGATTATGTACCTGCTTAAAGGTAATGTGTACTGGTCAACAGTTACACCACGCTATCAGGATATGAATAAATATAAAGCTCATCACCAAGTTTATAATCTTTATATTTATTTATATCTTGATGGCGTGGTGTAACTTCATCACCATTCGTATTTATTCATCACAAAGTTTATAATCTTATTTTTGATTGAGTATGTTCATTACTAATATTATTTACTAGATTTTATGGTATATTTAAATTAAACAAGTGCTTTATATTATTAATTAAAAAATAACATTTTTAGCTCTGTCACTGTATCCCACTTGTTACTAGAACTACAAAACTGTTTAATCAAGCACATTAAAATTTTTTATTTGTTTTATTTATTATATTAAAACATATATTAATAGCTAGATATATTAAAATTAAAACAACGATGATATAGTATATCGTTTATAAATGTCGTAAGGATTTCTAAGAATTACAAGAATATTCTTACAGAATCGTAGACTATATATATGTTGCAGTAATTAAATAAAATTTGTGATAACTCTAACCTTAAGCGCCAGTATTAATGTGTTAGTACACAGAGCACATACATTCTCGCACACATAACATACCAGTGCCAGTGTCGGCAGTTATACTCTATAATACAATTGAAAGTGATTTATGGCCACAAGAATCCATATTCAGCTCATTATTAGTATTTCAGTGGAATTATTATAATTCGGTTATTCGTTGGGGTTTTCGAGGGCTTTGTAATCATCTGAACGCTACATAAAAATAAAATAAAATAAATACAATAGACGTCGAGATTAATGTTGCGATAAGTACTCAATTTGTCTTATAAGTGGTCAGTACTACTGTAGTACACAACAGGCATTGAGGGAAAGGTAACTATGGATAAAATAAGTTGAAATATTATATAAGTAGAAATTTTTGAAATTGTTTAAAATACTTAATATATTTTTTATTAAAAATTATTACATTTTTCAGTTCATATTTAAATTGTTATATATTTTAACCGAATACTTGTGAAACATATTTTGATACAAATTGTCACAAGAATTTTTATCATAAAATATTGAATTTTTCAATAAATAATTTATTATTTGACAGTATATTGAAAATTCAGTCATATTGATATAAGAATTATTCAATACCTGAATAAATTAGTTATATATATGATATATACAGTATTAAATGGACTTTTATATAAAGTCAATGAATAGTGTATTAAGACTTAGATTGACCCAAATCTCCACTCAATGTAATACTATATCATTATAAATGTATTTATTAAGTGATTCTTATGTATCATATTTAGACCTTAAGGGTATTGATGTATGAAATGAAAAGAAAGTATATTTCAATTACAAATTCAATTTATTTTGAAGTGTTTATACAATTTGATTGAGAAAACTTAACATTTTGGTTTGAATGAGAATATATTTAAAACAATTTTAACACTAGACCTAACTGTACAACAGTATTATATTAAAATTATAAATATTTATTAATTCATGTGACAAGTGATTATTTATTGATGTCGTATTAAGTGGCATTAATGTTAAAAATGCAATTAAGCTTAATACTGTACAAACAATTAACAGTAGTATTATATTATATTGACTAGAGTATTATGTAACAAACATATCGCCCACATACACTATTCAAAAATAGCAATCACCTGTCACATACAAAAACAGGATTATTGTCAGTATTGCCAATAATACGCGTACATAAAAACAGAAAATAGCAACCGGTACAAATAGAAATACATGTTTGCAATAAATGTATTGAAAGATTCTTAGAAGTCTTAAGTAAAAATAGTTGTTAATACTTTTATTATGACTTATATTTTGTATCTTACAAGTTGTTAGTAAGTTTAATACTCATAATATTGTAAAAATGTGTAAGTAATAATATATTTCATATTATGAAATTCTTAGTATTATTTAAATGTTACTAGTCATATAAAAGTATTGACAAACAATAAAATAATTTCATTGGTTTTAAACAAATACTTCCTACATATAAATCAGTTCAAGAATATTCTGGTTTAATGATGTTTTTACATTTAGTAAGTGAGTGATGGATAGAGGGAGGGGAGAGAGAGAGGTGTGTGAGAGAGAGAGAGAGAG